TCGTTACCAACGACATGAAAAAAATCTCCTTTTGAAAATGACAACTCATGTGGAGCATTTGCTTCGTAATCGTATAACGCCTTTATAACTTTTTTTGGTGGTAAAATCGAGGGTGGCGCCTTGGTCGGAATAGCGATGGGTGTCGATATTTTATCTTTTGTGACGGAACGGCGGAAATCCGGTTTGAGTACCTTCGGGACTTTCACCATTCTTTTCACCGCGCGATTTTAAAAAATAAAAATAAAATAAATTCAAAGTTTGAGAAATTCGTTGCGATGAGCATACGAAAGAGTACTTACTCTTTATTTAAAATCCGAGTAGCACAGTGTGAGACGCAAACGATCAACACTCGAGATGCGAAAGTTGTTTTTTTGACGGTTTGTTGAAAGGGTTTATTAAAAGTTTCTTAAATATCCGCAACAATTTTTTTTATGGATTTTCTTTGTGCTCCTGGACTAAAGAAAAAAAGATTTTGTTTATGCGATTACGGTTATCTCAAATAGATATCGTAAGCGTGAGCCCCGGTAGGAAGAAGGAAAAGAAGTTTACAACGGATGAAACACTCTAGCTACGTTAACCACGGACAACAAGCATAAAACTTTTGCTTATATTGTAGTTGTGTAGAGTTGTGTTCAAATGGGGGGGACACTTGTATTGTTAAATCTTTTAGTCGAAAGTTAGCAATTGTCCAATCAAATTTGACCAGTGGGATACTTTATGCCATGTGTGATACTCTCGAGAACACGTGAATTTCACAATCCAAAATTAATTAATTAAATGATCGCAATTTCATATAAAATATTTTATTTATAAAAAAACAAAACAATATCTCGTTACATTCTCTAATTTTTATGACGCTTACTCTTGCCACTTTCAGACCTGAGTATAGATGAACATTCATTGTTAGCGAAAGCGCGCATGTAAATCTGATGAATTCCCGAGAAATGTCACTTACATATCCAATCCCCGTTTGCTACCTTTCTTGGCGTCGTCCAGAAATTGATTGAGCCCGAAGGGATCAGCTTCTTCTTTCTCAAATTCCACAGGCCCTTCCCTCGTCTAGATGAAGGATTTTTTTTTTTTGAATAGTTAATTTATATATATATATTGCATAGCTAAAGGAGAAGAACATAAATTCCAAACTAAACCTGATTCTTATCGGCTCCTTGAAAACCTTTAGATGCAATCCCGAACCTATCGACACTCAGCATCCTATTGATGCTCTCTTCATTGCCACCACCATATTGATCAGAATCGTAGGCTCTCTTGGGATTGTAGATGCTCGAAGAACTTGAGCCGGCAAAGAGTGGTTTATCGTAAAGGTCATAAACTGAAAAAAATAATAATCAATAAATGCACAAAGAGGTAATGATCTGACAGATTGATAAGAAATACCTTCATCATCTTTGAACCCTGATGAGAGTCCTTCAGATTGATTGAATAATCGGGTGTCATATAAACTTTCTTTACTGACTGTGGGCTTTGCGAGGCCTAACGCGATCTTTTCGGATATATCTCTGTTTTGCTCTCTACGGAAAAAACAGGTTTCGTAAATTTATATGCAAAAAAAAAAAACAAAAAAAAACAAACAGGAAATCGTCAATAACATACCGTGCTAGATATTTGGCCCTTTGTTCCGCACCCATCCTTGATAACCTGTATTCTCTTTCTCGCTCCTTTCGTCGTTCTCTCCTTATATCCTCTCTCTCCTTGACTTTTTCGTCTTCAGATTCTGACTCAGATCCTGATTCTTCGGGAGCCGAAGAATTCTTAGTTGTTGAAGGAATACCAGACCTGGATCCGAAGGACAGCGTGTTAGACGGATACGACAATTGATATCAAACAAATGAAATCATTGAGAAAAAATGATACCTTTCTTCGCGAGCTTTTTGTGCCAACATACGAAGACGTTTTTCCTTCTCCTCTTTTTCTTTCTGAGCGAGTTTTTCTCTCATCAAAGCACGTTGCCGTACCTCTTCACGAGCATGTCTATCAGCTGTGAAAAGTGCCTCAGATAATTTTGCAAAGTTATCGTTTATGGTGACCTGAACAGTAATTTTTTTTTTTGAGATAAATAAATAGAAGTGAATAATGATCAAAAGGAATTGAAAACCACCGAATATGTAAATCACCTCCTGTAGTCCACGTCCATCAGCCGCTAAGCGCTTATCAAGCGGAATCGTGTATCCTTTTGCGTTCTTCCAATTTGAAATACATGGTGGAATAACCCACTCTTGTTGTTCTTTTGCGGAAACCTTTCGAGGGGGGGAGTGTAATACTGGCGCCGGTGGTGATGGTGGACCTTGTATTTAATTAATGATAATAGTCGACGCGTTATTTCCTTTAAATCTTAAATTCACTTAACGAATGAAAGGGCAAAATGCCTTAACTTACCACGGGGTATCTTTTTGTGCTTGAATTTTGGTGGTTCCATTGGATCAACGGGCATTTCTACCATTCTAATTATCCTCTGTTTCGCACCCGAATTATAAGCTTCGCCCTGTTGGCCAGGAGTGTACCTTATATACGTCGGCTCTGAAGGTTTGTCGCTTTTTATGTTTTTCGGTTGTGAAGCTTTGATTTTACCTGTAAAAAAGTGAAAATGATTGACTTCTTGTACAAGCGGATCGTTCTGATTCTTCACGCATACCTTGCACAATTCTCTCCAACGCTTCCCTCGTTTTTTCTGTCGTTTCTTTGACCTCATCCTCGCCAGGTCTATCCAAAGTCACTAGCTCTATGTCTGATCTTTGATTCACGGGTACCAGATCTTTAAATTGTGAATGAATAACTCGAGACTTATTGTGACCTTGTTTTGCAATGTCATCGTATCGAATATTGCCTTCAGCGTCGACTTGTAAGGGAAGAGCTCCACCACTTTTGCTCTAAAAAACAAAAAAACAAAAAATGATTCGATCTTTAACCTAATCTAATCTTGTTGCGTGTTCATTCCTGATCCCGTACCGTTTTGTTACGCCCCATCTCCAAAGGATACTGTGCTATGTGAATTTCAGGAAACGATCCTCCATCTTCAAAATCGTCTGCGTTTCGCGGTTTCCAACCCACCCTGCTGCCGTAGGGGGGTGGTTTATTTTTTTGTTTAACAGCCGTGAGTTCATCGTAATGACGCTCATAACGGGTTTGTTGCTCCGAACTTAAAAGCTGATGTCTGGGTTCTGGGAGTACACTAAGGTGCGAAACAGAGTAAAACGTGAATAAGGGGTAAACCGATCGAATTGAGAACAATTGAGAACAGTCCTACTGAAGACGGGATACCTTGAAAGGGCGTCCATTTTTACAGGTTATTTCAATTATCAATAGGTATGCAGAAACCTATTTAACCGAGTTTTATATGATCACCTGATCGATCAGTGTAACGGGATGTAATTGGAAGTTGTCAAAGACGTTTTAAAGGGAATTTATAATAATGTGATAAAAATAAGTACAAGCTTAAGGAACGGAATGTAATTTTTTTAATTACCTTCGCGTTTTTGCAAATAAAACGGAACATTCGCAAAATGAGAAGGAAAAAACGTATTACTAGAGAAGCAAGCAAGCTGTTATAATAGACAGGCTGTTATAATAAATTTCTGAGTACGTACGTACTCTTTTGCCGCCGGAAAATCGGAAGATGGTACGTAATTTTTCCATATTCACTTGGGTTACACCAATTCTACTGAGTAGATTAATAGATAAGCAAGGAATTTATACGTACGTAATTTCAATCCGCCTACCTCTCCATTCCTATACGATTTCTATTTTTTATTTTTCTACTTTTGAGAGAATTTTTTTTAATCGTTCCGTCTATCTCAGAAGATCTGTCTATATACACACAACATGTCGACTGAAGCGCGTCGCAGGCTTATGCGTGATTTCAAACGACTCAAGAACGACCCACCAGGCGGCATCTCGGGTGCTCCATGTCCCGACAATATTCTATTATGGAACGCAATCATCTTTGGACCCGGTAAGAAAGACTTTTGTGACTTACTTATATCTTAGGAAATATCAAAGATTCACACAGGGAAAGTGCCATTTCCACAAAAACTACGTTTGTAATTACGTCTGATTTTGATTTCTATAGAATTTCAAATTTCTTGACGAAAATGTGTGCCTTTCTGGTAATACTTTATTAAGAAAAGGACTACATTTTACGTAATAAGCTCGAGAAGATGACCCTAGGCAAATTTTAATTTGGTTATCTGTCGATACTCATTGGTATATTTCATCGCATTGTTTGCTTTTTAGCCGATACGCCGTTTGAAGATGGCACTTTTAAGTTGGCACTTCAGTTTGATGAGAATTATCCCAACAAGCCACCTTCCGTCAAATTCATTTCCAAGATGTTTCATCCGAATGTATACGCCAATGGTGAACTGTGTCTTGACATCCTCCAAAACAGGTGGTCACCCACATATGATGTGGCTGCCATTCTGACGAGTATTCAAAGTCTGCTTCATGATCCAAATCCGAATTCACCCGCAAATGCCGAAGCTGCCAATTTATATAGGGAAAATCGTAAAGAATATATCAGAAGAGTGAGAGAAGTTGTCGAAAGTTCCTGGGAGTGATGATGAGTTCGTTATTTGATCGAATCCCTTAATAATAACTAGAAAACATGATTTCAAGTTTAAATAAAAACGTGTGGTGGAGCACTTTTGGCGTCGAACTTCTTTGCATGTGGATGTATTCATCAAATATTATATCTATTTACTTCCCTCTGAAATGAGATTACTGAACTGGTTTCAAATGAATTGACTCCCTTAATGTATTATCATACTATTAGACCTCACCGGTGGTTCATATATGTACCCCCTGATTACTCACGCGAAAATTGCATGTATTTAAATAAACAACCCGACTTATCCCCAATTGCTGAGTGATGTTGAATAATTACCGAGTAATTAATTTTATTTCATTATTAGCGAGTAAATATTAGAAGTGATACAAAATGAAAATCTATCAATCATTTTATAATTTACTTGTTTTTAATTCATTGATGTATTTTTGAAAGGACGAATTAAAATGTGTATCAAAGTCTTAGCATTTCCAGTTCCTTTCGTAACGACGCTTCGTTCGCAATTTTTTGCAACTACACAAAGTCCAGTTTAGAGATCAATATTTGATCAACAGGAATTTTGATAGCAAGTCGAATGGACTAACCTGTGTTTGCTCCAACTTATCTCCGCTTTGTTGCCTCTCCTTAAGTTCTTCGATTTGACGCAATTTCTTTGTTAAATTTCGAATCTTTTTATCATTTTCGGATAAACTCGATGTCGCCTCAGGAATTGACTCCGACTTAGTCTTGTCATCCTTATCAACCTGGGCTCCATTGTTTATTATTACAGACTGAACATTCGTTGGAATTTCTATTGGTGTGAGACAAGACAGTTTTTAACTTTCGTTGAACTTAAAGCACAATACGATTGCAGCAGGCATGATAACCTACCAGTACTCTCGTTGACAGTGGTTGACGATGATTCTTTCTTTTTCTTCGCTAACTCGCGTTTCCTCTTATTTCTTGATGCCACCTTCGACAAATCTACATATCAAATGATAAAGTTTCAATCAATGAGGTTCGCCAAGAACAAACGGTACTGATCTTGAAGAAATTCTCTACAAACTTTCAGTTGTTCCCGCCGACTTATTTGTTCCATGATCTTGCGACGAATTCTTACTTGATTCATCCTCTCTCTGCAAAACAGGATGCCACGTTAACATGACTGAGATCAATATTATTTATTACCTTCATTCTTACAGAGCATACCTTGAAAATTTCGGGTGTTGCTTTGCCACGTGCGTGAGGTGGTCGATACGCGCCTACCTTCTTGGCTAATGAATTTTTTTTTTTTTTTTTTTTTTGAGAAATAATGTAAACGTCCAGAATCGCGCCGTATTACTTGTGAAACACCGACCCGCAGATCACTTACGTAATGGTTTAACATCTGAAGCGGTAAGATCATTGGAAATCTTTGGTGGAGGTGATAGGGTCGTTCGCATGGGATACAAATCCGCATTAGCAGGTCGCCATTGAACCTGTTGATAAGTTCATATACCAAGGTCCAAAGATGATCATAAATAAACGATAAATTTCGTGGGGTTTCTTTATTCCCTCATGACGAAATCAATTAACCTATGTCATCTTTCAACTACCACCAGTTGAATAAATAAACTCTATAAATGTTCACACAAGGATACTTTATCCTAACAATACGAGAACTGTCCTTTTCGAACCTGTAATAGTTCCTGAATATTTGTGGTATGTACTAACACACCAGTATAATGCCAGATCTTATAACCGTTATCAACCCGCAGTCGAGGGCTAAGAGTCGCAGTCATTATGTAACGACCGTCCGGGGACCAAAAACTTTCGGAAGAATTCTGTGCCTCGATGGTAGCCGTTTTTTCCAAAGTCTTGCGATCCCATACATCCATGGTTCCTGCTAGATTTCCAAACCCAGCTATGAAGATGAGTAGTCATTTTTTCTGTGGTGAAGGAATGAACACAAACACTTCAATGATTATACAAATATCACGTTGGTTTGATTGAAGAAGGATATGTCTTCCTTGGGGATTGTATTTCACGGTATTACGTGGGTTGATGCCAAATTCGTGTATGGGTTCAG